GCCAAGTCTCCAATATGCTTGCAATGCCTGTTTGGTGAGATAAAGACACATTCAATGAGAACTTGGCTTGGCATCCCATTGAACAAACACATGGCAACTATTGCCAGGGGAAAGAATTTCCCTCAAATTAACGGTCATCTGATATTTTATTTATTTTAAAGACTTAATAGGATTACAGAAATTGGTGGCCATCTTTGCAATTGCTTCATAGATTCTAAACCCATACATATAGTGACTGATAAAATAAATATCCATTTTCTGAATATATGTTACGATATAAGGGTAAATGCATATTACCACTATTTCGGTTCACAGATCAAGTGAGAAGAAGTCACCAATAGAGGGGGTAAACAAGGAGGAGCAAAAAAATAATGTTTTCCATATTATCTATTAAATCTAGTATAAACTTAAGGCTTTTATTTCTTCTCTTTTTCCACCTCTATTGGTCACTACTAGATTGAACTGCGAGTAAAATTGGATGAATTGCGATTTGTTTGAAACCAAATCCACAAGTCTAGATGGTGACTGTTTTGCCGATGTCCGATATCTCTAGATATAAGGGTTAAACTATGACACCACATCCTTTACCCCTAAAAGACCAATGATGACCCAGTAATTGTTATCTGGCTCACATACATCTTGTGCAATGCCTGACATAGTTGGTGTCGGCAGCTCTCTCTGTATGTGTCCTGTTCATATTTGGTGGGATCATTCAATTATGAAATAGAAAGCGTAAGTTTGTAATAGACTAACACCACATATCGTCCTGAGAGCAATAAACTCAATGTACAGATTAAGTATGTAACCTTTTGTTCACACATCTACCTTCAAATTGTTATATTTAGAATTCACACTTATTTCAATTTATTCTGGATTTCCCAGCTTTCTCCTGCCAGGCCAATAGTCATTATGAGCTTTGCACACGTACTTGTGAAGGTACCTGCTCTGGCATCTCATCGCAGACAACCTGCACGACGCGTTGCTTTGAGGGCTGTGAGTGCAACGCCGGCTACACCTTCGATGGAGAGGAGTGTGTCACAATGGACAAATGTGGATGCACCTTTAATGGAAGATACCTCAGTGTAAGTCTCGATTTGTTGACCTATCGTGCTTTATATGTATATGGTCTGCACACGCCATTACAATTTAAGAATGATAATGATATTCTATTTGAAATATATATTGAGGTTCAGAATTTTTTTTTTATGTATCTTTAGTATTCCAAAGCATTTCTGAACATATTTTAGATATCTTTCAAGAAATGGTACATGTATGTATGTTTGGTTTTATTATAACGGTTACATTTAGAACTTTTTTGGGGGATGGGAATTACGATGAACATAGTTTCACAGGAATAGAACCCCTTTCTGGAGAGGACGAAGTGAAGTGTCTTTGTAGTCTATAGAGATGACATGATGTCTCATATGTCTATAACTGATACCACAGCACAGTTTGCATTCTTCTTGCTCCTGCATAAGTAAGGCAAGAAAGGTAAATGTCTGCATGGCATCACAAGGCGAGCAAAGCGTTATTACAAGTTTTATTACTTTATATGATGTCTGAATTTTAGATTATACCCTGAATCCTCTAGTTTTCTAAGAATTATAGATGAATTCGTAGGGGAATTTTATCAGTATAAAACTAGTGAAATATAAAAATTGCTGAATACACATTCTCCAATAGGATTTCAATATATGTTCTGATATCAATATGTAGAATTGATTTTTTTTCTATTAAACAGGATGGAGAATCCTTTGTAACTCTGGATTGCAGCCAAAGATGTAAATGCAGCGCTGGAGGTGTGGTCTGTCAGGCTATATCATGCAACGCAAATGAACGCTGTGGTCTAAGAAATGGAATTCGAGGTTGTTTCTTGGTGGAAGGAGAATGTACTCTAAACCCACAGAAGTTTGTCACGTTTGATGGTCTTTCAGGAGGACCCGTAGGAACTGGTCCATTTGAAGTGGTCTCTCTATGCAAAGCAGATGAAGATCAGCAGATCAGGGTCATTGCTGATATTCAGAACTGTGGAAGAGCAGGGACATCAGTATCTAGGCTTCACATCTTCCATCGCGGTGGCTTAGTTACAATCTCCAAAGACAAGGAGATTTGGGTAAGTTACTTAATTAGAGAGAAAACTAGGATTCAGTTCAAATGTGTTAGTTTAGCTAAATCTAAATACATTTCAATAAAAAACAGTGGAGCTCTATATACCTTTTAAAGTGCAACAAGTGTACAGATCTGTGTTTAGTTCAATACTTCAATGAGTTACTTAACTGGCTTTGATGAAAATTTGTGGTAAACCAGCAACTATACCTTAAACCAGGCTTCCCCAAACTCCGGCCCTCCAGATGTTGCTGAACTACAACTCCCATGATTCTATGAATGTAATAGGCTGAGAATCATGGGAGTTGTAGTTCAGCAAGATCTGGAGGGCTGGAGTTTGGGGAAGCCTGCCTTAAATAGAAAAATAGTAGACAATAGTGTAAAAACCTTATTATTTATTTTAAGGTGCAAAATCTTATATGGAACACTCACATGTTTCAGAGCTAATCCACCTAGCTCTTCTGTGTATGGCTTTTGGGTCAGTTTGGGCAACCTCTCCCTTCTCCCATATTATGTCTTATAATTCATCCCTTTATCCAGTGATGTATCTCAGAGTAAAATTATTTTTGGGAAATAGTGTAATATTGCTTTTCAGAGACAAACTTATGAGTAGTAATAGTTATACTCACAAACGTGGAGCCTAAATCCTGGCTCAGTATTGTAGCTTTGTATGATGGATGACAACACCTTATTTTATAAGTGCAGGAACTCAGGTAATGGTATTAAAAAAGTATGACTTTATTATATTAATAAAAACAACAAAGATATAGTGCAATATGAAAAAATAGACCATTATAATAAAGTCTCTTATCCTCCAGAAATGTGTTTCACCATTCGTTGGCTTCCTCAGTCCGGTATGAGTGCGGTAGCGGCTACTAATTGAAGAATATTTGATTAATAAGTGTTTTTAACACACAACACCTTTTTGTACGTTATTATTAAATCTAAATAAATATTATGGAGTTACTTACGTACCCTTACACTGATTTCTGTAGTTTCCCACATTCCCAACTTGGTATGGCCCACAGTGTGCATTGCCAGTTTTAGCTACTGATGTTTGATACAAATCGGATTTATCTTGAAAAAAATAGCTCTCAAACATTAAAATGATTATATTGTATTTATTTATTTAATTTCCCTAAATGGTTCAATGTTGATGTTCCAGGTCAATGGACGCTCTGTAAGCTTACCGGTTCAGCTTACTGGAATCCTTAGTGCGACCAGAAAGGACAACTCTGTTTTCGTTGCGATTGGCTCAACAGTGAAGATTGATTTCAGCGACACTGGAAACCTGAGCGTGCGCGTGTCTGAGGAACTGTCTGAGCGTGTATGTGGAGCGTGCGGAAACTTCAATGGAAACAAAGCTGACGACCTTCTTACTCCTGCAGGGAAGTCGGCTGCCAACATAGTGCAGCTCATAACATCATGGACTGCTCAGGATTTCTACAGCTGGTGAGTAACTCTCTATAACATTCATCAAGTGATTCACACCTATACAACCTACCTAGAATATTTTAAAATAACTGTTTGTTTTGTTTTTTTTGTGCCTGGGTAACTAATTCCACATGAAATATAGTTGACTATAAGAGAATACAGTGGGACTTCATTTCAACGTGTTGTATTTCTTGTGTATGATGTACATTATACGAGACTCGGCATGGTGTGCAGGAATAGCCCCTTGTTGGAATACCGTGATAATATTAAACATTTGCATAATACAATAGAAAAATGTAAGTGCAATGTAAACAAAGGCAGCCTTTAGATTATCATAAGGTAACTGAATCATCTATATTCGCCTTTAGCGCTTCCTGCTTTTACTTCACATTTCGAGATACTTTTGATATCTGTGATTTAACTTTAAGTAGAATCGTTTAGACGTAATGCATTTAGAGCTCTGTTTGTAGGGGAATAAAAACAAAAACGTGCATTGCAATAAATCGAAAACCAAACGACATAATGGCTGGTTGGACAAATGTAACAAAATTATATTTTAATCTAAATCTTGCAATTAACTAAAGTTCAGCAATAAGTAAATTAATCTGTCTGTTTTTTCACACTATTAAAAATAGAAACAATATTTTTGATCTTTTATACAGAGCAATTGTGGCATATAATTTAATAAAATATCTATTATAGGCAGAATGTCTGTCTGAAAGGTTTAGATTTATTAAATAAACTAATGGTTTTCTGTTTTGTCCCTTTCAGTAATGCGTAAAAGAAACGGCAAAGAACGCACCCGATAAAAGTAAATTCAAAGACAAAACTACAAGTTCCAATTTAAAGCAACAATCACTGAAACTGAAGATACTGGGTGATCTAACGACAATTACCTCTCCGATGTCTAAAAGGAAAAGCCCATATGTTTATCAATTTAAGAACTTACATCACCCGTTCTGTGTTCACTCATGGATTATTGTAATGTATTCTGTATTGCCAGAGTGCAGGGCTAAAATAGAATGTCCATAATCTGGTTTAATCATCTCACAACCCACAGATCTGATCACTGCCATGTTAAGGAAAATCAGTTTCTCTGGAACTGCAATGTTTTACATTACAACACTAGGTTCAAAAGGGACTACAATGCCCCTTGATAGCAAAAACACAAGTAATGTGACTCATCTGAATAAAACCTATTGGTGTTTCTAGAATGCATATCTTGCGATTTTTGTTTTGGAACGGAGGGTTGAACACATGCTTAAGGGTTCTGGTGAAGTCTGGTTGGTGTTAGAAATGCATTTAAGAGATTTGAAAAAATCTTCCTATTCCTGTCTATTTCATGCAATAAACTCCATTACTACTAACCGCACATGTATTGGTGTCTTATTGAGCGTTGGGAATGAATGCTGGATTGCAATAATAATCTATCTACCCACACTGCACACATTAAAAGGTTTGTTCAATAAACACCTATACCCTAAAATGAATATTTCCTGGACTGCAAACAATTCTCCACCCAAAGACATCTCTGGATTCGCTTTTCAAATTCCACCTCTTTTGAAACACATTCCCCAAGTCCTGAAAACCATTCGTCATTCCAAACTGTATTCACATCTGGCTCCCAAATGTCTCTCCTGAAACTGACCCTCAAGTTCTATGAACACTTCTGCATCCCAAAACTCTTTCCACATCTGCTCACCAAACCCTACAGAGTCCAACATATTGCAAATCATTCTGCATCCAAAGAATCTCCATTGCACCTTGAACCTAATTCTTCCAAATGGGAGGGTCTGGCTTCCAATAAATGGGAGGGGCCTTCCTCCATGTGTCTCGTGTGTCTCCTGTAGTTTTCTCATTACGATGGTGTATATCCCTAGACAGGCGTGATTAATTTCATATATTTTTTATGCATATGTAGAAATTATACTAGTCTGTCTGTATGATGACCAAGAGGTCTACCTTACTAATGGGTCCATTATTTCTAGAATATAACTTAATGCAGTATAAGCAATGTTTCCTACATAAGCCTAAAGGTGCAAGGTTTAGTAATATCTGCCCTTTTTAACCCCTTCAGGACCGGACTGTTTTTGTGATGTGTGTACGTTAAGGACCAGGGCTATTTTAACACTTTTGTGGTGTTTGTGTTTAGCTGTAATTTTCCGCTCTCTCATTTACTGTTCCGATACAAACTATATATTGGGCTTTCTTTACATACTATTTATCATGTCATATAATTTAATTTAAAAAATAAATAAATAAAATATGGTGAAAAATTTAAAAAAAAATTTTTTTTTTACTTTTACTTCAAAAATCTTTTACTGATCTACAAAATTGGATGAAAAACTGCTAAATAGATTCAAAAGTTTGTCTTTTTTGGTTTAAAAATACCCAATGTTTGTGTTTTTTTTTTTTTGCTTTTATTTGCAAGTTATAGGGCTATAAGTACAAGTAGGAAATTGCTGTTTCAAAATGTACATTTTTCAAATGTATCAATAGTGACATTGTAACACTGTTATGTCATAAATCTCCACAAAACAGCCCACATGTATATATTTTTCTTAAACTAGATAACCCAGGGTATTCATCTAAGAATATTTTGATACTTTCTATGCAGCCATTTTACCACAAACCTTTGTCAAACTTTTGGGTAGTAATCTTTTTAAAAAAATGTTTTCACATACATTGCAATTCAGGTATAAGTTCACAGATTCTGTTAGGTGTCACTGCCAAACAACACCCCAATACGTATTCAGCAACATCTCCCAAGTACAGAGATACCATGTATAGTATAGGTGTGTTGGGTTGTTTGGGGGCTAAAAGGCCACATTTGGCAGGTGCACATATCAGTTTCCCATCTTGGAATTTTGACATGTAGTCAACCTGCTTGCATGTCCTATTTGGGACATTTTTGAAGCCGGCCAATGTATTTTACCCCCATCAAACCATATATTTTTGAAAAGTAGACACCCTAGGGTATTTCACATGGTGATATTTTAACACTTTCCATGCACTAATTCTAACACCAGGCTTTTGTCAAACATTGAGTTATTAAAAATGTTTGTTTTTTTCACACACATTGTATTTAGGCATGAATTAACAGATTCTATTATGTGTTACTGCCAAACAACACCCCAATATGTGTTCAGCAACATTTCCCGAGTACAGTGATACCACCCATGCATAGGCCTGTTGGGTTCTTTGGGGGCTAAAATGCCACATTTGGCAGGTGCGCTGATCAGTTTCCCAACCGGGAATTTTGACATGTAATCAACCTGCGCCCATGTCCCATTTGAGCCAATGTATTTTACCCCCATCAAACCATATATTTTTGAAAAGTAGACAACCCAGGGTATTTTAAATGGTGGTATTTTAACACGTTTCATGCACTGAATTCTACCACCAGCCATTGTCAAACTTTTGGGTAGTAATCTTTTTTTGTTTCTTTGTCACACACATTGTACTTTAGGCATGAATTAACAGATCCTGTTATGTGTCACTGCCAAACAACACCCCAATATGTTCAGCACGGTTTGGGAGAATACTGGACTAGACATTATTGGGTTGGTGCTCCAGTATGAGCGAATCGATGGCTTCTTTATAATCCCCACGAGCATTGTAAGAGCCCAGAATTTTTTAAGCTCTGGGACATCTTTGGGATGCCAGTCATGCTTCCTGACTGTATAGCTACCTGGATTGTTATCAATACAAGTTAGTCTTTGAAGCAATCTCCTCCCAGATGGTATCTCCTAAAAATAGTTCTACACACTGCATTGGGGAGAAGCCATCCATATTAACATTAATGCCTGCGTTGGCACTAAAAGTTGGGCTTGGCTAACTGTGGAGGTACCCAGTCCTCCTTCACATTGTGCTCACACACAGATGACAGTGTCTAGACTTGACTAGACGTGTCAGAAAACTGACCTGGGTCAAAATCTGATGCAGTGTCAGTGGCGTCAGAGTCTGACGCCAAGAAGGCATATGCCTCCTGCAAGTTATACATACGCTGCATGTTTTACACACAACTAAAACAAATTACAAACACACAAAATTTCTTTTTTTTTTTTTTTTTTTTTACTAAAACAGACTAAACTGCAATCCCTAAACTAACTCCTGTCACAAAAATCTAATGGAGATTTGGGGGAAGGAAACTGACAGACAAAGACAGACCAAGATAGACCAAGACACAGATTATTTTTTTTTTAACCCTTTAAGAGGAAAAAAAAATTACAGGATCGCTCACACGCCACAGTTGGCTGTTACTATCTGCCTGGGATGTCTGGCAGATAGTTACAGTGTAATACCGGCGGGAGCGATCTTTGATCGCTTCCCGCAGCCCGTTTTTCAGCATGACGGCTCAGGACCATCAGCGGTCCAAATGCACGTTTTACTGCTGACGGTCCTGAAGGGATTAAGTAACCTCCAGCAGAACGAGATGTAAGCACCATATGATACTGTATACAGTGACATTAAAAGGATACTCCACTGCCTAAATAATAAAATATGTATTCACTGTTTATAGATATAGTCCAAATTAAAACATACATGCATTAAATTCAGCATTTTTCAAGACAACCTTTTGTCTGCAGCCTTGGCAAGCCCTCCTCTTCTAACCCCACCCAGACTTTCTGTGACTGTCCAATCACAGACTTCCCAATGCAGCTCAATGAGAAGTCATTACAAGGCAGGTTCTCTGGGCAATTGCTGCCTCTAGAGTTTATCTTCACGGAGCTAATTAAACCAGGTACTCAAGGCTCTTATAATTAGCAGTGAACAGAATAAAAAAAAAAAAAGAATAGCAATTTAATCCACCATGGAATAAGTCCTCTTGGTAACCTGGTAATTTCTTCTATTTTCATGTAACTTAAAGCGATATGTATGGCCTGCCAATCACCTCTTCCTAGTACCTCCGAGTACTTCCAAGCACTCCTCCAGACACCATCAGCACCGTAGTCCCCACTTCCAGCATTACAGCTTGTCTGAGGTGTCGCCGTCCTCCACCCTCCCTGGATCCAAGACCAGGATCCAGCATCCAGTGGGCAGACCTCTCCTACTCCAGAGAGTGTAGCAGGCTGCTCTTACAAGAGCCCAGAGGTGTATATTGATATAGCAATCCCCAGAGCAGATACAGCTGTTCCCCCTACACATGAGATGAGACTCTATGTTGAGGGTTGGCAGGAACTCATTTATTGGCAGCCACAACTGGCCTTATATGCAGGTCCCCATGCAAGAGGCATGGACCTGAGAGTAGCCTACAGTAAAAACATACACACAATTACATTGGCTCTCAGGACCAGCACACTCCCTTACAAAATAGGTCAATCCCTCTCCTGTGCCTGGGACATAATTACTTGAGTACACAATCATATCATTAAATTATCTCTTAGTACCAGAAACATGCAATACAACAATAGAGATGTCGCGAACCGTCCGCGAACTTCTCGCGAACAGTTCGCCACGGTTCGCCACGAGCTGTTCATGGTGAACTCCGGTCAGCTGACACGTCCCGGCCAATCTCCAGCAGACCCTCCCTCCCAGACCCTCCTACTTCCTGGACAGCATCCATGTTTCAACTTGGATGCTGTCCAGGAAGTAGGAGGGTCTGGGAGGGAGGCTCTGCTGGAGATTGGCCGGGACGTGTCAGCTGACCGGAGTTCGCCGCAAACAGCTCGTGGCGAACCGTGGCGAAGCGTTTGCTAGAAGTTTGCGGACGTTTCTCGACATCTCTATACAACAACACCCCAAAAGTGCTACTAAAACACACGGAAACCCCACAAAAGTCATATACCCTAATAGCCCTGTTCGGGGGGACCAACATAACCAAATATCACCCAGGTCGGTTCAGGTGTTCAGGATTTTATTGAAGTCATAATTTTGACTGGCTGTGGACATGGTCCTATGACCAAAACAGTTCCAGGGAATTAGGGCAACTCCTTATGGATTACAAAAGTACATAAATCACATATGTTTTTAAAGGGCCGTAGGCTTTTGGCAGTAGGCTGGCAAGCAGGCCCCTCCAATAACAGGTGGCAGAGGCATTTCTGCCACACATCTTCCCCCACAAGGGAAGACTTACCAGGTACCTGACCTGCTGCCGGTTGGTACCTGAGTTGGTCGGGCAACCCACCCAAAAACAATTATTTGGCTGGATAGTCTCCAGTGCAAGGCTCTGTCCTACATGTCCAAGGATGCTGAATGGGTGTCCGTCATCCCCGGTCTCTCTAGTACTCCCAGGTATAGCATTGTGTTTACTTGGTAGGCAGAGGCAATCAGTGCTCTGCCCCATAGCAAGCATTACAGCTGGGAAGGATAGTGGGTCGTACGGTCCCAGAACACAGGGACTGGTAGAGCAGAGGCCGGTGCTGCTCTGTCCTGTAGGTATTGCTTCTGCTGCTGGTGCCTGCTGGGTGTCAGGCTCAACCATATGGGGACAGGTAGGGCAGAGGCCAGTTGTGCTCTGCCCTGATGCCAGCTCTTCTGCTGGGATGGCCTGTGTAATGTCAGGCCATGGACAAAGGAAAAGGAAAGGACAGAGGCCAACTGCACTATGCCCGGATGGCAGCGCTTCTGCTGGGGGGCCCTGGGGACAGTCTGGTGCTATGACAATGGGACCAGTAAAGCAGAGGCCAGCTGCACTCTGCTCTGATGCCAGATCTTCCACTGGAAGGGGGTTAGTGGAAATGGCCACCTCCTCCACTACCCCAGAACCCGGTTGGGAATCTGCTGCTGAGAGGAGTCATTGCCTACCTCCTCTCCCTGGTATTCCTGCTGTGGCTTTTGGGGATCTGAGTTGGCTGTCCAGCATCCCTGTAGGTCTGGTGCAGAGACCCATCTGCACCATTGGGTTCAGGAGTGCTGTCCCCCTGTAGTTGGGGAGAGGGAGCAGTTGTCTCTTCTCCCGGTACCTCCGGCTGCTGGAGGGTGAGGCTGGTTGCCTCCACTCTCCAGGACACTTTCTGCTGTAGGGTAGAGGGACCGATCATCATTTATTCCTGTAACTCCGGCTGCCGCTGGGGAGAGAGACCGCTTGTCTCCTTTCCCTGCATAGTTCACTACCGCTGGGGAGTAGGACCGATTGTCCTTACTCCCGGTACTTCCAGCTGCAGTTGGGGATTTGGGTCCAATGCCCAGCATCCCTGTAGGGCCAGTGAAGAGACCTCAGTCCTATCTCCACCTGCCGCCTGGGAGTCTTCCCAGGACCCGTCTATGAGGTCCCCTACTTCAGCAGTTGGTACTGAAGCAGGCGATACCTCAGCCGG